ATCCATAGGTCGCTGGTTCAAATCCGGCTCGAAGGATTCTTTTTTATTTCTTCAATAATTGAAATATATTTGATATGGTGTGATTGAAAATGCAGAATCAGTTTTACAAACCTTAGCTGGCTCAGTTGGTAGAGCGGTGGACTGTAGTGGAATCATGCCTTGTAGACATCCATAGGTCGCTGGTTCAAATCCGGCTCGAAGGATCCTTTTTTATTTCTTCAATAATTGGAATTAAGGTGATATGGTGTGGTTGAAAATACGGAATCAGTTTTACCAACCTTCGATAGCTCAGTTGGTAGAGCGGTGGACTGTAGTGGAATCATGCCTTGTAGACATCCATAGGTCGCTGGTTCAAATCCGGCTCGAAGGATTTTTTTTTATTTCTTCAATAGTTGAAACATATTTGATATGGTGTGATTGAAAATACAGAATCAGTTTTACCAACCTTCGATAGCTCAGTTGGTAGAGCGGTGGACTGTAGTGGAATCATGCCTTGTAGACATCCATAGGTCGCTGGTTCAAATCCGGCTCGAAGGATCCTTTTTTATTTCTTCAATAATTGAAATTAATGTGATATGGTGTGATTGAAAATACAGAATCAGTTTTACCAACCTTCGATAGCTCAGTTGGTAGAGCGGTGGACTGTAGTGGAATCATGCCTTGTAGACATCCATAGGTCGCTGGTTCAAATCCGGCTCGAAGGATCCTTTTTTATTTCTTCAATAATTGAAATTAAGGTGATATGGTGTGATTGAAAATACAGAATCAGTTTTACCAACCTTCGATAGCTCAGTTGGTAGAGCGGTGGACTGTAGTGGAATCATGCCTTGTAGACATCCATAGGCCGCTGGTTCAAATCCGGCTCGAAGGATCCTTTTTTATTTCTTCAATAATTGAAGTTAAGGTGATATGGTGTGATTGAAAATACAGAATCAGTTTTACCAACCTTCGATAGCTCAGTTGGTAGAGCGGTGGACTGTAGTAGAATCATGCCTTGTAGACATCCATAGGTCGCTGGTTCAAATCCGGCTCGAAGGATCCTTTTTTATTTCTTCAATAATTGAAATTAAGGTGATATGGTGTGATTGAAATTACAGAATCAGTTTTACCAACCTTCGATAGCTCAGTTGGTAGAGCGGTGGACTGTAGTGGAATCAAGCCTTGTAGACATCCATAGGTCGCTGGTTCAAATCCGGCTCGAAGAATCCTTTTTTATTTCTTCAGCAGTTGAAATTAAGGTGACATGGTGTGATTGAAAATACAGAATCAGTTTTATCAACCTTAGATAGCTCAGTTGGTAGAGCGGTGAACTGTAGTGGAATCATGCCTTGTAGACATCCATAGGTCGCTGGTTCAAATCCGGCTCGAAGGATCCTTTTTTATTTCTTTAATAATTGAAATTGACGTGATATGGTATGATCGAAAATACCGAATCAGTTTTACCAACCTTCGATAGCTCAGTTGGTAGAGCGGTGGACTGTAGTGGAATCATGCCTTGTAGACATCCATAGGTCGCTGGTTCAAATCCGGCTCGAAGGATCCTTTTTTATTTCTTTAATAATTGAAATTGACGTGATATGGTATGATCGAAAATACAGAATCAGTTTTACCAACCTTCGATATCTCAGTTGGTAGAGCGGTGGACTGTAGTGGAATTGTGCCTTGTAGACATCCATAGGTCGCTGGTTCAAATCCGGCTCGAAGGATTCTTTTTTATTTCTTCAATACTTGAAAGTAAGATAACATCGTATGAATGAAAATATAGAATCAGTTTTACCAACCTGCGATAGCTCAGTTGGTAGAGCGGTGGACTGTAGTGGAACTGTGTCTTGTAGACATCCATAGGTCGCTGGTTCAAATCCGGCTCGAAGGATCCTTCTTTATTTCTTCAATACTTGAAAGTAAGATAACATCGTATGAATGAAAATATAGAATCAGCGTTACCAACCTGCGATAGCTCAGTTGGTAGAGCGATGGACTGTAGTGGAGCTGTGCCTTGTAGACATCCAGAGGTCGCTTGTTCAAATCCGGTCGAAGGATCCTTTTTTATTTCTTCAATACTTGAAAGTAAGATAAAATCGTATGAATGAAAATATAGAATCAGTTTTACCAACCTGCGATAGCTCAGTTGGTAGAGCGGTGGACTGTAGTGGAATTGTGCCTTGTAGACATCCATAGGTCGCTGGTTCAAATCTGGCTCGAAGGATCCTTTTTTATTTCTTCAATACTTGAAAGTAGGATAAAATCGTATGAGTGAAAATATAGAATCAGTTTTACCAACCTGCGATAGCTCAGTTGGTAGAGCGGTGGACTGTAGTGGAACTGTGCCTTGTAGACATCCATAGGTCGCTGGTTCAAATCCGGCTCGAAGGATCCTTTTTTATTTCTTCAATACTTGAAAGTAAGATAACATCGTATGAATGAAAATATAGAATCAGTGTTACCAACCTTCGATAGCTCAGTTGGTAGAGTGGTGGACTGTAGTGGAACTGTGCATTGGAGACATCCATAGGTCGCTGGTTCAAATCCGGCTCGAAGGATCCTTTTTTATTTCTTCAGTAATTGAAATTAAGGTGATATAGTGTGATTGAAATTGCAGAATCAGTTTTACCAAGCTTCGATAGCTCAGTTGGTAGAGCGGTGGACTGTAGTGGAATAATGCCTTGTAGACATCCATAGGTCGCTGGTTCAAATCCGGCTCGAAGGATCCTTTTTTATTTCTTCAATAATTGAAATTAAGGTGATATGGTGTGATTGAAAATACAAAATCAGTTTAGCAACCTTCGATAGCTCAGTTGGTAGAGCGGTGGACTGTAGTGGAATCATGCCTTGTAGACATCCATATGTCGCTGGTTCAAATCCGGTTCGAAGGATCCTTTTTTATTTCTTCAATATTTGAAATTAAGGTAATATGGTGTGATTGAAAATACGGAATCAGTTTTACCAACCTTCGATAGCTCAGTTGGTAGAGCGGTGGACTGTAGTGGAATCATGCCTTGTAGACATCCATAGGTCGCTGGTTCAAATCCGGCTCGAACGATTCTTTTTTATTTTTTCAATAATTGAAATATATTTGATATGGTGTGATTGAAAATACAGAATCAGTGTTACAAACCTTAGATAGCTCAGTTGGTAGAGCGGTGGACCGTAGTGGAATCATGCCTTGAAGACATCCATAGGTCGCTGGTTCAAATCCAGCTCGAAGGATCCTTTTTTATTTCTTCAGTAATTGAAATTAGGGTGATATGGTGTGATTGAAATTACAGAATCAGTTTTACCAACCTCCGATAGCTCAGCTGGTAGATCGGTGGACTGTAGTGGAACTGTGCCTTGTAGACATCCATAGGTCGCTGGTTCAAATCCGGCTCGAAGGATCCTTTTTTATTTCTTCAATACTTGAAAGTAAGATAAAATCGTATGAATGAAAATATAGAATCAGCTTTACCAACCTGCGATAGCTCAGTTGGTAGAGCGATGGACTGTAGTGGAGCTGTGCCTTGTAGACATCTAGAGGTCGCTTGTTCAAATCCGGCTCGAAGGATCCTTTTTTATTTCTTCAATACTTGAAAGTAAGATAAAATCGTATGAATGAAAATATAGAATCAGTTTTACCAACCTGCGATAGCTCAGTTGGTAGAGCGGTGGACTGTAGTGGAATTGTGCCTTGTAGACATCCATAGGTCGCTGGTTCAAATCCGGCTCGAAGGATCCTTTTTTATTTCTTCAATACTTGAAAGTAGGATAAAATCGTATGGGTGAAAATATAGAATCAGTTTTACCAACCTGCGATACCTCAGTTGGTAGAGCGGTGGATTGTAGTGGAACTGTGCCTTGTAGACATCCATAGGTCGCTGGTTCAAATCCGGCTCGAAGGATCCTTTTTTATTTCTTCAATACTTGAAAGTAAGATAACATCGTATGAATGAAAATATAGAATCAGTGTTACCAACCTTCGATAGCTCAGTTGGTAGAGCGGTGGACTGTAGTGGAACCGTGCATTGGAGACATCCATAGGTCGCTGGTTCAAATCCGGCTCGAAGGATCCTTTTTTATTTCTTAAATTATCGAGATTTAGGTAATATATTATGAATGAAAATATAGAACCAGACTCAAAAAAATATAAGTAGTCATACATTACAATATTATCAAAATACTTATTCCACGTACCCTAAATGCAGAACAGCTGCTTCAAAACAACAATTTATGGAACAACATTGTGCCACTGCGTTTCCGGAAGTAAAACTGTGATATAGTTTGTACCCCAAAACTTACTTTGCTTAAGTTTCACGCGCACTGCCATACTCCTAGAAACTTCCTTGCTATTCAGTAGTAGAAGTTCCAAAATTCAAGTCCCTGTGGCCGTGACTATGCTTATTGTCACGCAATAAAATAGTAGGCCCACTTGGAACATACGCCTACACGAAATAGTCCAGCTAGGTTGGAAGGAAACTTTAGAATCACTATCAATTAAGTATGGTAGTATTTTGCTGATAGTCAAGGAACAGTAGTAACTATTCTGTGAAGTTTGTCCAAGAAAATCCCATGGATCCCATGGATTTATGTTCATTGTTGAATATAACTAATAATTTTTTGTTACTACGAGTAAATGTAGTCTGTTTTATAACTCAAATCATTGTTGCTGATTGTATTTATTTCATAATTTTAATAGTTTGTAAGTACCATGCCACCAGATAAAGTAAATGAGTGAATAATTAACGATGCTTCTTCTATATTTGTCAGATACCACCATGTAACGACAGCGTCAGTCTCCGTTTTGCGATTGCGTCAGCTTTATGTGACAGTGTTGCCAGACGTTAAGGAATTTATCAGAATGCGTTACCTTAAAGTCTAATCCAATTAAGAAGCTTAAAGAACAAAGTAGACCATTTGAAATAATAGAGTATCCAAGACAGTAAAGCGGCAATGCGTGAATTTATACACAATTTCTGTAGATCTGTGCTAAGATTCATAACATAAAGTCATGTTTCATCTTGTTTCAGCTACGATTGGTTCGAAGGCCTAGGCTTAAAATGGTATGCTCTACCTGCAGTCTCCAACATGATGTTCGACTGCGGAGGCATCCAGTTTACTGCAGCCCCGTTCAACGGATGGTACATGAGCACGGAAATCGGATGCAGAGACCTGTGCGATGCTACCAGGCTCAATATGCTGGAGGTACGTTGTTCTAAACAACCGCTCATTAAATGCCGATTTTAGAAATTACGCTTGAGCAGCAAGAAAAATAGTATATAAGTCACATGGAAAAAGAACACAAATATCCTGGGATGAGATACCTCAGGAAATCGATCATCTGGAGTATACCCAAACATGTTATCCATTAATAGTTATAATAATAATAAATGCCTTTATTTTCAAACAGTTCACAAACAAATATCAAAAAAGAAACATGAGTATTAACGAGAAGAAAAATGACGACTGTTTGAAAACCACAAGGGGAAGTAGACTATCTAGTGCTCTTCCACTCAGACCTTGGAACTATTAAAAACATTATGCCAGTATTTACATCCATCAAGCATATACAAGCATCAATATGAACAACATGTAAGTTAAAAAAAAAGAGGAGAGAAAAGTGAGAAACATGGTAGTAAATTAAAAAAAAATCTAGAATAATATATATACACATATGTTTTCACACCGCATAAACAACCGTCAATATGAACGACAATCAAGTTTAAAAAAAGAGAAAAGAGAAAAACGTGGTAGTAACTTTAAAAGTCTAGAATAATATATGTACGTATATATGTTACGGTTTAAGTACTTACTTAGCTAGATTATAGGCTAGCTGGATTGTATACAGACTTTCCATATGTCTGGTTACTTTAATGGAAAATCAACTTTTCACTAAAATAGCTACGAATAAGGGTTGGCTTGTATACTATCCAGTTAGTCTATAAACTGTACAAGCTTCAACGATGTTACATAGGTAAAATTTTTGGTTAGTTCACAAACTCTTCACAGTGGGTACGTAAAGTGTGAGCTCAGCATTCCCAGTAATATATAATAAACAATTCGTTGGTTAGTATGTAAACCAACTAATCCTCTGGTTAATTTATTGGAAAAGTGAGATTATGTTTGTAGGTGGTTTATAGCAGGTATTCGCCAATGTAAAATTCCAACGTTATCACTCCCTAATCAAATTTGCAGCATAAAAATAACACATGTTGCAATTACAGCATATCAACCTATTTTAATTTCAATGCAAATAAGTCTATAACGCATAGGTGGCTGTGAAAAATAAAAGCCATGACAATTGTTTTTATTAACACAGCTATTGGAATACGTTTAAAATAGTTTTGGGTAGTTAAGGTTTTCAAAATGGGTAGAGGAAGGTTATTAGTGAGGAAAATTCGGTTACTGATAATTAAATTTTTAATTCTGGGAAATCAACTCAGAAATTGCAACTTTGTTAGACTTCGCGGTACAGTGTGAGAAATATTCTTAGAAGATATAACGTAACTGGTTCAGTCAATATTAAGCCACGATATGTGAAAAAAAATAATATCACAAATGCCTACCGAATGGCATTAAGAAGAATAATCGTGAAAAACAGGGGGTGCCAATTATTTACAATTAAGTGCTCTGTAGAGTGTCGCTATTGGAAGGAGAATTTCGAGGTCTACAACTCATAGAGAGGCCCACAAACTGGGATTTAGCACTTGCAAGGTAAGTTTTCTGATGAAAAAAGTGAAGTAAAAACCCTAAAGTTGCACAACTTGTTTATAGGCCAAAGAAAAGCCACTATTAATGCCAATGCAAGAGAAAAATCGGCTTAGATGGTCTAAAGAACATAGACATAGACACCTCAACAATGGTGTGCAATACAATGGAGTGATGAGGCCCGATTCGAAGTTTGTGTTGGTGACAGTCGCAGTAGAGTTATTCGCAAAAAAAATTAAGGATTCCATGTTGACTGCCTGAAGAGAAAAGTGAAATTTCCAGCATCCATTATGGTCTGGGGCAGTATGTCATCAAAAGGAGTAGGAAACTTCATTTTATTGATGGAAATGTGGATACAAACAAATATTTGGCAATTTTAGAAGAATCGCTTTACCAGTGATGGAAGAATATTTGACATCCGGCCAAGATTTTGTGTACCAGCAAGATGGTGCAGCGTTCCATACCTCAAAAAAGGCTATAAAATGGATGGAAGAAGATAATTTACCACTTTTGAAATGGGTTTTCTAGCAGTCCAGATCTGTCACCTATTGAAACTTTGTGATGAAAATTTGCTGTTGCTTTGTTACTTCGCGCATTTATTCGCACATTGTTTATTTGTTCAGATGTTCTATTAGTTATAGGTCTAAGTGATTTCAAATATGTATTTTTTACGACTAGAGTGTATCTCAAATTGTTTTAGAAATAAATAGTTTCGTCATGTTTAGTTTATATATATTATATATATATATATATATATATATATTATATATATAATATAATTATGCTGAAGTTTCTTTTCTCTCTAGTCGAAGTGCCTTTCCATTTTTTGTGTTTTTCCCTTTATGGCACACAGACTATGTAAATTAAATTCATTATGCTATGTATTGCTCACTAAAGGGTATCTATACTGTTAGGCAATAAATGCTTTATTATTATTATCATATCAATCTTCTTGTTTGAAAGGGTCCTATCTGAATGTGCAACAAGGTATGAATATTTAGTTGAAATAAATTTATAGAATTTGACATTTTTTCAAATGAAGTGTACATAATTTAATGTATATTTAGATAGATCCTTCCAAGAGAAAGATATTGGTATAAACATAGAATTTTGCTGATTGGTTCATGAATTGTAAGCGACTCGGTGTACAAAAACTTTGACAGCCTGCCATTCCGCTATTTTGAAATATAGTCATTTTATATTATAGAATCAATAAGCACTCATAAATACCTTCAAAATAAAGAATTGCACGCCCCCCCCCCCATTTTATTCAAATAAATGTGACAAGATGGCGCCCTGCCACCATTTTGCAATTACTGTCACTTTTATGCTAAAGTATAGCCTGTCAAAAATAAATAAAAAGTACTGTATATCAATTGTTGCTTGTAAAACTCCATCTAACTCCAAACCAGCAAAGTAAGTAAGCTACACACACATAGCAAAACCCGATTACTCCATCGCTGATGAAAAGTTGGCGAAAGCAACTTCCGGACAGCAACAAGCTTGCCGCGAGTGATAGCGGTCTACCTTATTGACATTAAATTTGTCAAGTACCCTTTTCGTTATCCGCCGGTGTTGAAGTTCTCGTAATGCGATTTCGCTTTCATTGACCATTTTCCTGAGCACCTACATACATTAGGAGGAGTTGCCAGATAGAGCGCAGCGCCGAAATGTTCTTCCCTGGGGCCCTTTGGGAACGGGAACTCCCTACTACATATACTAAGTGACATATAAATCCGAACACCCAGTTTAAATGGTTTTATTTTAATAAAAGTTGGTGAATGTATTTATCTACTGTAAATAACAAGTGAAAAAATTTTCAGCCTTATCAGTTGGACATTCCTGTTTTTATACGCTTTTTTTAATTCACTAACGCTATAAAAATGAATATTTCAGCCGCAGTAAAGAATCAACGTTGGCGGAATTTTGGTCTTGACATCCTTTTACGATCGGTTCCGATGTCTAGAGTACGGAGACCTGTACGATTTCGTCAACTTAGTGAGTTTGATAGGGCTGTATAGTGGACTTCGGGAAGCTGGACTTTCTTTTCGGGCAATTGCAGTTAGAGTGCAAAGAAGTGTAGGACACTGTGGTTAGGTGTTTTCAGGCATGGCGTCGAGAAGGACATACGCAAAGAGCAATGGGCACTGGACGCCGCCGTTAGACACAACGCATGAGATCGCGCCTAAGATTATGACCTTAAGGGACCGTTTCTCCACTACCAGGTCCATTGCAAATGACTGGTTTGCAGAAAACGGAAGAACTATTGGCATGCCAAGTGTTTACCGACGAATGACAAGTTTTGGCTTGTTTTCATACCGGCCACACTGGGTCCTCCCTTTAACTCGAGAACACCGACGTAATCGCCTTGAGTGGTGGCAGACAACGGTCACTCTGGATCAGGAATGGAACAGTATTGTCTTTAGTGACGAGTCTCGATTTGTTTAGGCATGCACGATGGTCGTGCCAGGGTTAGAAGGCGATGTGGTGAAAGGAGGAATCCACAGTTTTTGTTTGAAAGACATGTTCATCACACTGTTGGAGTTATGGTTTGGGGTGCTATAGCTTATGGTTCCAGGTCACCTTTAATCTTCATCAGAGGTAACATGAACGCGCAGCGTTATATCCACGAAGTTCTAGAACCCCATCTTTTACCCTATCTTGACACCCTGGCAGATGCAACTTTCCAACAAGATAATGCCCGACCACATGTTGCAAGAGTCACAATAGACTTCTTTCAACATAATGATGTCACATTGTTACCATGGCCACCAAGATCTCCCGACTTATCCCAATTGAGCACGTGTGGGATATGATGGGTAGGAGATTGCTCAATTTGCAACGTCCTCCTCAGACCCTAGAAGCACTTCGAGAGGAGTTGGTGGTTGCCTGGAATGAGATAACACAGGAGGACATTGACCACCTGATCAGAAGCATGCCTAGGCGCGTTGGAGAATGCGTAGCATATCAGGGTGGCATCCCACACATTATTAAAGGTCAAAGGGCTTTAAAGCAGTGCAATGATTTTGAAATTTTTATCATTTACTTATTATGCTTCATTAAGTACTTATACAAAATTTTATTACAATAAAACCATTTAAACTGGGTGTTCGGATTTATATGTCACTTAGTATATTAGATACAGACATCAGTCTCGTTAACAGTTCAGATTAAGATATCACGGTGCTGGTGTGTGGTGAAAGTAAAACTAAAGGTGGCGTCAATAGTTTAGTGTAGTTCCCATAACGGCTGTAGTCTGACTGCACTACGTACGGTGCACATGCGTCTTTCTATTAGGTTATAGAAAAAAGTTTCTGAGGCTTTCGATGTAGGTGGCAATACTGTGAAAATGTGCAACTACAAGGCACTCATGCTTAATACAAAAAAACCTGAGAAGTGTTGCCTTGTACGTGAGCAAGCACGAGCTTATAGATATAATGGGTGACAAAAAACGGGTATACAATTTACGATAGAGATAGAGAGTGACCAACAACTGCCCTTCTTGGACGTACTAGTCAGGAAACGAGGTAACAAGCTGGGTCACACGGTGTACAGGAAACCAACGCACACAGACAGATACCTGCACGCTTTGTCCAACCATCATCCAATTCAGAACCCTGACAGAATGAGCTCGAAGGATTTGCGAACCGGTGAACCTCCAGACAGAACTTGAACACCTGAAAACTGCGTTCGAAGCAAACGGCTACAGCAAGAGGGACATTGAAAGATCAATGAGCTCGAGAGCCAGGCCACGTAAAACCGAACAGCGTCCCACCACCTCTCAAGCTTATCTTCCATTTGTGCCAAGAGTCACGGACAAGACTGGTAGACTCCTGAAGAGACATGACATTAAAACAATCTTCAAGCCTACGAAGAAAATCCAACAAACCATCAGATCGGCAAAGGACAAGAAGGACCCACTCTCAGCTGCAGGAGTCTACCGCATACCGTATTCATGCTGCAAAGTATACATTGGAACCACGAGAAGATCAATGGGAACGAGACTCAATGGGCACAAAGCAAATTTCCGGCTAGGACAAACTGAGAAGTCTGCGGTAGCTGAACATGCACTAAGCAATGGGGACCATAGGATACGCTTTGGGAGCTGCAGGTTGCTGTCATCAGTCAACGGCTATCACAATAGACTGGTCAGGGAAGCTATCGAGATTCACAAACATCCAGATAACTTCAACAGGAAGGAAGAGACCCTCAGACTCAACCCGATCTGGCACCCGATCCTCAGAAACGCCCGAGTAGTGCCGATCGACATCCCGAAGTCAACTGAAGTGGAACAAGCCACGTCATCTACCCTCAGGTATAAATACAACCTGCGCAAGAGAAATCGTCAGTCAGCTGATGAGGCCAAGGAAAATGGGAGAAGACCGACAATAGTTGTATACCCAAGAGGGGAAAGAACAGCCCGTGTACAACAGGTGGACAAAAAGAAGCCTGTCGATTGAGGTGGCCAGAGTCAAGCACGGACTCGAGGCTAACCTCAGGAGATGAAGACAAACAGCAAACTGACTGACTGACTCCAGTCGACGAGGAAGGAGCGAAGGCTCACCAACCTTAATGCGGGAGCGCAGGACCCTCAAGGAAGAGGCCGTCCATAAACGTCGAGAACCGATGGATTAAACTTTCACCACGTGCTGTGTGTGAAATCGTTAGTCTACATCCAGCATCGGAAATGGAAGGATCTCTGAAGAAGCTTGCCACTCGTGCTAGCGAAACGTTAGGAAGAAATTCCAACCGACGACAGCCTTTGGACACGAATCAAGACAGCAGTTTAAAAAAATGGTAAACATCTATGTATGTTTATCCGATTTTAATAATTTGTGGCATTTATGTTCAGTGTCCCCTACTAGTAAAATGATTTAATTTTCAGCTTGATTCGTCATGGAGCGTTTAGACAGAAGGGTGCGAGTATACCAGCGAAGTCAATGTGCTGTTCCATACATAACCCCAGCTTTTGTACTTTATAATATATATTTGATTCAACTATTGCGTGAATTTTGTGATAACTAAGGCACATTCATTTCCAGACCATAGCTCTGAACATGGGCCTAGACACCCGCACTCCCATCACCCTATGGAAAGACAAAGCCATGGTGGAAGCCAACTTGGCAGTGCTTCACAGCTTCCAGCAGAAAGGTGTCACCATCGTTGACCATCACACGGCTTCCGAGTCCTTCATGAAGCACCTCGAAAACGAGGTTAGGCTCAGAAACGGGTGTCCAGCAGACTGGGTTTGGATTGTGCCACCACTGTCTGGATCTGCAACACCGGTGTTCCACCAGGAGATGGCATTGTACTATTTGAAACCGTCTTACGAATACCAGGTTGGTCAACAGAAATATTCTTTGTAGTGATTGTTGATTTCCGATCTATTTGAACACTATACAGGGTGTCCGCAAAGTTGGGGTTTTCCTTTTCAGAAACAACTACCCTTGAAAGAACAAAGGTAATGTGTAGTGAAACGAGGGCGACCAAGTAAAAAAAATAAAGGAAAAAGTACTCACTCTCCAGTTGACGAGAAGGGCTAAGTACGTCTCTGCCCGAAATTATACCGCCAACAGAAAATGAAATCAGCTGATGCGCTACCGAGCAGACGTAAATAGTCTAGGTATTTCATCCCGTCCAATCGATTTGGGAGAATAAATGGTCCAATGAGCCTACCGTTCACCATGCTAGCCCAAACATTCACAGAAAATGTTTGTTGAAAATGTGCCCGACGGACAGCGTGCGGATTTTTTACTGACCAAACATGAGTGTTGCGAAAGTTATTCACCCCATTACGCGTGAACGTAGATTCGTCTGTCACCAATATGCACTTCAAAAAGTCCGGATTATTGTCATGTTGATGCAACAACCACTCACAAAACCGCACTCTTGCTGGAAAATCGTCAGGTTGAAGGGCTTGTACACGTTGGACGTGAAACGGATACAGCCCCTCTTCACGCAGCGTTTGTCACACTTTAGTTTTTGATACTTGTACTTCTCTAGCCACGTCTCTAGTGCTTGTTGTTTTTGAAACGCAATCGATTATACGAGTTCGTTTACCTCTACACGCGTGACCGTAACCGTAGGTTGAAGATTCATACTGACCTGACACACTGACCCCGACCCCCGACCCAGTTCTGTCGTCGGGTTGAGCTAGTAGCCGGTACCAGTTGGGGATATCGCGAGTCGCGGCTACAGGACGGTATTCAGATATTTTTGATGTTGCAGAGCCCTTTATCTCGGTTCCCTTAAGACATTGGTGTATATGGTACTAAGAAAAGTTGCTTATGTTTTCAAGATCTACACGCCGTGTAAAGGAAAACCCCAACTTTGCGGACACCCTGTATAAATGAATGTCCCAATAATAGAAACATCCTGTAGAAGATAGTATGTTAATGTTATAAGGTCGTATATCCAGAGCAGTTCCTTTAGGGTTAGCAAATAATCTGGTATCTCGAAATAATAATATAATTCTAGTTGCAGAATCCCAAATAAATGATAATTACGCAAAACATCATAACCTCCGTTTAAACGCTACAAAATCAAAAGATATACTTCTAGTTGCAGAATCTCAAATAAATGATAATTACCCATAACATCATAATCTCTGTTTAAACCCTACAAAATCAAAAGGTATACTTCAAAAAATTTAGGAAATATACTAAGTGACATATAAATCCGAACACCCAGTTTAAATGGTCTTATTTTAATAAAAGTTGGTGAATGTATTTATCTTACTGTAAATAACAAGTGAACAAATTTTCAGCCTTATCAGTTGGACATTCCGGTTTTATATATATACTAAGTGACATATAAATCCGAACACCCAGTTTAAATGGTCTTATTTTAATAAAAGTTGGTGAATGTATTTATCTTACTGTAAATAACAAGTGAACAAATTTTCAGCCTTATCAGTTGGACATTCCGGTTTTTATACTGCTTTTTTTTAATTCACTAACACTCTAAAAATGAATATTTCAGCCGCAGTAAAGAATCAACGTTGGCGGATTTTGGTTCTTGACATCCTTTACGATCGGTTACGATGCCTAGAGTACGGAGACCTGTACGATTTCGTCAACTTAGTGAGTTTGATAGGGGCCGTATAGCGGGACTTCGGGAAGCTGGACTTTCTTTTCGGGCAATTGCAGTTAGAGTGCAAAGAAGTGTAGACACTGTGGTTAGGTGTTGTCAGGCATGGCTTCGAGAAGGCACTGGACGCCGCCGTAGAACAACAGACCGCCGCCTAAGATTATTGGCTTTAAGGGACCGTTTCTCCACTACCAGGTCCATTGCAAATGAATGGTTTGCAGAATACGAAGACCA